ATGACTACGAATCACTGAAAACGAGCTTGTTCGCCACTCCTTGTTCTATTTGAAAATGTGCTCTGTGGGACTGTTTAGACAGTATCAAGGTTAGTTCACGAACGCAAAAGAATTCACGTTCCCCGACCACAGGGGTGGCGGGTTGTGTCAAGCAATATCACACACGAATCTCACACACACATTACACAACACAATAACAAGAGATACAGTATGGACGTAGGATTCACTACGCATCCAACGCAAGTTAACATAATGCATACAAGACAGTTTGTTCATGGGAAAACAACGATTAGGTTCTTGTACAAATTGAAATTCTCAATGGGTGTGCTATTCCGTGGATAATCCGCACGCCAGTCTCATCGATGCTCAGTCGCCATGAAACGATTGATCTCTCCTTTTTTATTCGTCAGAAATGGCAGTCCGATGTGAACACAAATTAGCGAGGTAAACTCGCATAAGCTTCGCCGGTAGTACAAGCCTGAATGCTTAAGCTCAATCTTGATTCTTTTCGGTACAACTCATTCATTTNNNNGCTTACTTAGCATTGATCTACATTGTACTTTGCTATGGTGTGTACTTCTCAAACAATTCGGTTGGTTGAAAGACAGACGGGTAATGACTGTCTGCAACTGATCGATCGATTCTATGCCGTCAGTCCTGAGGGGCTTGCGGGTTCAATGCACCCACCACACTTTCATCCCATGCCATTGACTCATCTAATTAATATGAAGGAGAAAGTGTGTGCATGTGTGTGTGTGTGCGTGCGTGCGTGCGTGTGTATTTACTAATTAGATGATATCAAAGTTGTTCTACCATCTATTTGGTTTCCAGCTTTCCGTAATAAGTAACCATCAGATAAACGGTCGGAACAAACCAACTTACGAGTCATTCACGTACATCTTAGAGGGCGAAAAAGTAGCGCTTGAATGTTAACTGTTCGATCAACTGTTTGTTTTGTGTTCTTGTATTCCATGTGGCATTCGCCGATCGCGACTCATCGGGGTCATTTTCCGTCGGATTCCGGTTAACGCGTTTCCGTTGACTGTTTTTTGTTGTTGCTCGTTTGGCAATTAGATCTCCGGGCAACTTCTCACAGTCGACGTCCACCGCTTAGTCGGGACCAACACGCGACGTGTGATGATCAAGCACACATGTTGGATCGATTGAATCGACGCGGTGTTCCACCACAACAACAGTCCAACATGAACTCATCCGGTTCCGTTTCTCAGCACCAGCATCACCCGCCGGGTGCTCCTCGACCCGGCCCGGATGCAGTGCATCTGGTAGACAGTGGTGCTGGTGGTAGCGGCAATCCTGGACTGCCCAAATCGATCGGATCGAGTACCGGACCGGGCCGACTGCAGCCACGTCCGGCACCACCATCTTATCAACAGGTTTGTCATCAGTCGAATCAATATTTTACTCATAGATAATTATATGCTGAATTCGTCTTGTAAATGAAGTGTGAGTTGAAAAACCAGGAATACTGTACAGCTGTTTCGGCCTGGTTGGGTTTCATTGGCAGCGTGAATCCGTCGACTCAGCTGGGTCGCGACTGGCCGCGACCTCGCAGCAAGCATACTCAAGCATACCCAGTTGACCACCAACCAGTACACGGTATGGCCCAACTCATCTTTACATCTTGTTGTCAGCTTGAAATATGATTTTTACCATGCAAATCGGTTCTGAGTATAAGTTTTCTCTTTTAGTTTAGTTCCTTTTTTAATCTTGTTTTGTGCTCAGCTCGGTTTGAACGACCATTAACCATGCATTTCTGTGCACCGGTTTTGGATGTCGTCTTTTTTGGTTGCCCATTTGGATGACGGAGTAAAAGAAAGATTGGAACGTCGAAAGCAGTGTTGAAAGGAAATAGAGAATTTCAGTTGTCCAAAATTTCAATGAAATTGAGATGGTGCACGAACACCACTGTTTACAACACTCAGTGTTTCTAAACATCGTGACTATCATGATGAGACTGCACCTCGAAGTGCTGTGATGGCTTGCTTTCATCCTGGTCCCTGCAAGCGACACGGGATGGTTTGTCATAGCTTCAGACCCAATGATGCCTGAAAGGTCAATAGGTAGAGGTCAGACGAAGCTCAGTCTCACCTGCTGGCTTCCTTTGACTGTCCACTGTCGCCCCAAGAGAGATCACTTCGATAAATAAAATACGGGGTGGAGCAGTTTGCCGGTTAAAAGAACCCTACTAAATGCACGTAAGAGCAGGGTACCTGGGGCTTCCACTTGGTGGCGGGAGAATTCATCACACTTCATTCTACAGCTTCCGTCTGCCCAAGGTGGGTAGTCTCCAGCCAGTAAGGTGCTGTCCCGTTCACGTTTCGCCTATGTGATTGGGTGCACGAGACTAAGAGCCGACCCCGAATAGCGGACTGTCAATCAACGCACTAGCGAACAAAACTCTGAACTGAAACCCAAAGGCCTCGCGTGACAGGTCTCGACACGCTCCCACGAGGGTGCTTCGGTCGTGCTCCCGCGTTGGATCCAAACCCCACTGCCTTGTGGGTCAAACGTTTGAGCCGGAGGCTCCGGTTAAGGTTCCCTAAGAAAAATTCCTTCGTCGGCGTGGGCTACTGCGAAACATGTCTTGTCCTAAAGTCCCAGACACCTACTTGTTCTGTTTTCACCAAAACCCAAGCTATGTATGATACGGGGGACGTTTTACACAGGTTTATTCTATAGCTAATATGTGCCGAAATTCTGAACGCGTGGATGAACGAGAGCTACAGTAAGCTAGGTCATCATATAATAATGAGCATGTAGGTTCCTCGGGGCCGTATCTCTCATGGGCTAAAGCGAAGCAAAAGTGAAGTTGTTGATGAGCAAGTTTAGTAACCTGAAAATCAATGGAGAGGGATGAATCATGACCATTCTCAGGTAAGCTACTGAACAAAGCTTTTGGTTCTTGTTCCAAAAGGCCGGACAACTACAGTACAGCATCGTAGGAGTCACGTGTAACTTGTTGAACTTCGATGAGACCCCTGCTGTGGAGTTCGAACTGCTTGACTGGGCATTTGGAATAACAAGCGTCGAAAGTTTTCTCAACAATAGCTGTTGATAGACGTTACCCCCCTCCTCCCGTGGTACCTGAGTTGAAAACGGAAAGCGGCTGAGAATATATTCCAGATTAGTTAGTTGGATTCAGTTTAAAAAAACCAGAATCATTTGAGTTAACCTAATTTTCAGATAATTTGTCATGGAATTTTCGGAAGTCAAATGAATCGGAAATAGCATGACAAAACGTGACATCGTCCGTGTGTGGAAATCACATTGACAGGTAGGAAGGTCACTTATGCGACTCGGAATATAGGAAAAGGAACCACAAAGCACTTGCGCACTCCAGAACTATCTTATCCGGGTTTGTTACATTCTCTTGTAAGCATGTTTAGACCATTGATGAGCTCCAATGAGATCGAATATCGATCCTGTTGCTTCCCGAATAGACGGTTTACTGGTTGAACTGAGGACTCTGAAGGATGGTCAGACCAGATCAGTTCTAATGATATCTGATGCTGATGAACATTCAAAGTCGACATCAATGTATGGCGAAAATAAGGGAGGACAGTCCTAGGAAGACCGAATACAATTCTGGTTGGAGTGACTCACAACAGTTTCCGATTTTCCAATCTTCTCTCTGATGCTTCATCTAAATGAACAACCAAAACCGTCGTGCGAATGGTGTTTAGAATGGAACCGAAACTGAAACACATCATATTTGTCGTACGAATGCTCTGTCTTCTGATCACATAAATGCCTTGTGGCCTGGGCAGAGCAATTTGAAAATTCGGTTCACAGAACTTGTATTGGCAAACTACTCATCCATACTCTTTTTTGTTCATTAGTAAGTATCCTTTGGCTAAGACTTGTATACGAGTTCCTTTAATCTTCTGGGATCCTTAATCACTGGAAAGGAACCCCTAATAACTGTGTTTCAATGGGACAGCATAGATTGAAGAGAGCACACAGAGGTAAACAGCTCAGATAAATGACAAATGAAATAAGGGAGCACGAAAATCACGAAAAGGCAACATCGATAGCCGCGTTGAGAATGGAACTATTACCGGACGAAAAGTTACGAAGGAGAAATTTCACTTGATTCGTAGATGTGAATAATTGGTGGGGAGTTTGTGAATAAATTTTCAGTCTCTCTCAAGCTCTGATCACATGGATAAACTTGGAACTTCAGTCTGAATTGGAATAGATTTTGCCTGTTAGTAATTACTTTGTTCAAGACAGTGTTCCCTCTTTTGTGAGTAGGATTCAGTAACAATAACAATTAACGTGTTGATGTTCATCTGCGGGGGAACTGCATATGGTATAAATAAGTTATTACAAAGGTGATTCTAGACTGAAGAAAAGAGGCAATCAAAAAGTTGGTTATTATTGTACGTCTAAATGGAACAGACATTGGCAAATACGGAACAAATAAATGAACAGTCACGTCTGAAGAATGTCTAAATATAACAGTGGAGCAACACCCCCTCCCGCACACACATCCTGCTCCTCTGAATCTCTCATTGTTTATTATTCTACCCTCTCACTGGGGCTGGAATCCATCTGCTCGTACCAGAGAGTTGTCAATTTTATCATCCAACCAGGACTCTTGAACACAGATTCTGTGTATGTGAACATGAATTTGAGTCTTTAGAATTCGGAGGTGCAAATAGAAGCAATTCGCCAGCCAACACGCCTTCTTTTTGTTGCCAAATTTGTTTTTAGTAGTTCGAATCACTTGCGATTCACTTTTAGGAAAAAACCTGATTTCTAATATCCAAAGAGACCAAACGAGAATACAAGTCGAGTATATGCTTTGTGCATTCCGAAAGATGAATATTCAACAACATGAACAGTAGTGTATGAGTAAGATAAAGTTCACTTTGATAACGGCCGGAGAAAACGTAGCGCAATCAACCGAACGGTGCGCGGATTTTCAATATCTCTTGTTGTTCGTCCCCAACACTGTGTTATGGGATAGGCTGTTCGGCGGC